GTTGCTGCTTCGCCGGAGATTTTCGCCTTCTCTTCGAAGATTCAGGACGTGTTGCTCCTGATGATGCATGTGTTGCTCCTAATAATGCATGAGCTCGTTTACCACCAAGTACGGTGGAAAGAAGTGATGATTCACCACCACCAAGACCACCAACCTGGACCGACCTGGCCATCAATTCAGATCGTGATGGGGCTAATCTCTGACCTATTGTTGAAAGTAGAGAGGGCTTCCTCGGCTTAGCAGTACTACCAAGTGCTCGAAGCTCAGCGGCACTACATGATGTACTCTTATTGATGTGCCGCCTCAATCCACTGTTCGATAATACTGCCAAAAGGCAGTAAGGGCACTGCGGCATTGCTTCCTGTATCAATCAAAACTTGTATGCAAGTTGACCATTGATTTGTAGCATGATAAAGCAACAATCCTCACCATCATAGCAGCACCACACCAGCTAACACGACATCAAGGCTCCCATTTTTTGGCCTTTTTCTGCAATTTTGTGGTTGAAATAGGTGTTGGATTTATGACCTAACGACAAAGTTGGCCAGGGGCACTTTCCGTGTTCCCCACCCATTGTATTCTAGAGTAGGCCTTAAGAATTTCTGAGAAGACTAATTATAATTAGAAGCATTAGGTCATGATTTTCACGGTGCACTCAAAATCTGCGTATTTATTTAGAATTGACGACCACCCTTCTACTTGATTAGTGTGTTTGGTCATTCGAGGCTTTTGGGGTGGTTCGTGCTCGTCTAAGGCAACGGTCCGTTCCTCATCCAGTCTCATCCAACAACAAGGTCAGTTCACATTCTTCTCACAAATGTCTCATTGGGTGCCATTTCCGGTGCTGCTTGCAGCTGCTTCGAGCTTTGAGGAAGTGAGTGGGCGGCCATTTTCATGAGTCCGTTCCATTTGCTCTCTGCTGGAAAATGGTACCAAACCAGTCCTTCAGTTCTTCTTCTGTTTTGCAACAAGTCTTGCTAACCTTCCCTGCTTCTTTTCCTCCTTTTGACATGCATGTATGATTGGGTTCCCTCGCGACAGTCCTCGTTCGTCCTTCGGATTTCGGTCAGGTTAATTCAAAAGCGTTTGTTTAAATCACTCATCTCTCAGCACCAAGCATGCCATTAGTAGCTCTTCGCTCTTCGGAGTCAGCATCCGTGTTGGAAGCTTCCAGGGGCACTCGTGAGTGTGTTCCTGATTGTTTTCGCTGAACAAAAGTGGTCTTCAGTTCTACTTCTTCTTCTGTTATTGCAACAAGTTGTATTCCTTCTTTCTTTTCTCCGTTTGTCACTTGACAATGATGGTCGTTGGTTGCGCGTGCGCCGTCGGCTGGCTGGGTTTGCTGGTTGGTCGTTCATGTTCGAGTGTCACCCTTGTCTCTTCCTCGTAGGTATGGGCGGCCTGTCTGCGTGAGGTCGTTCCCTTTCCTCTTCACCAGAATATGGTACCAACGGTCTGTTTCATTTCCTCTATGTTTAAGATTCAAGTCTCTCTAACCGTCCTGATGTTTGTTCTCCTTTGTCATGACAGTGATGGTCGTCGGTTGCTCAGGACGCCGTCGGCCGCGTTGGGTTGGCTTTTCTGCCGGTGGCTAAGGTATACGGTACCGGTACAGTACAGTACCTGGCCAGAGCTCGTTTAACCACCGTATCGTGCAGGGTAGCTGAAGAACAGTAAACAGAGACAGAATCAACTGAGATGACTGGAAATCAATTAAATTCCCGTCTTTGCCCAATATCTATCTAGATAACCCACGTGTACAGAGACTGCAATATAGACGTAGTGCTGGGCTGGGTGGATCCATCCCTGCAGGAGTTATCCTCTACCACACGAGAAACTCACAATGCACAAGCCGCGTTAGTTCTCTGAATTATGGAGATGATAAGGCCAAAACGACAATAGCAGTTGCACTTACCCTGGATCTTAGGATAGAATCTAAGGAAGTGGTTCTTCGTCTTCATTGATTGTGTCACTGATTTCACTGCTGCTTGACCTTGCCTTAGGCTTTGCCCTTGGCTTGGCCTTCGCAGTTGGAGAGTTGGAAGTGATCTTGATTTCTGAATCATTGCTTGGATCTTTCTAATTTTTTCTCTCTTTTAGGGGACTGTGTGCGCGAGACGAAGTAGTAGTCTGTGAAGTAGACGCGGAGACACCATCTTCGAGGCGGCTCTAGGCGCGTACACACTTACTTCGAGCGATCCAGATATGCACTAACTCCAGCTTCATGCGCCGCCCCGCCCTGGCAGCACTACTGAAGGTGGAAGACAGGAGCTGATCTAGTGCGAATTTGCTAGAAGAGGACATTGCTGCTTCTGTAGCTTCTGATTTTCGTCTCTTCTTGGCCATCAACGGCTTCTCTTTAGGACGTCGTTGGCTTGTTTCCTACTTACCGGGACACGTGCTACGGTTGCTCTTCGCTTGTTTCTCCTGGCCATGGATTGCTCCCTTCTTGATCTCTTGCGCTTTGGCCTTCTGAAAGCCGCACTTCGGGGACATATTGCCGGCTCACTAGACCAGAGGCTCTTTTTCGGCCCATCCGTATACTACGCTTATTAATTGAGATAACCTAGCCTCAGTACAGATAATCCACTATGCCAATCTATGACCCAGCACCGATGCACAAGAGGACAGATTGAGCGAGATGTATCCTCCTCTCGAGTTTAAGAATCGTTGATCTTCTCACACAGGAGATAAAAAGCTTCCAAGACTGACAAAAACTTGCCCAGCACAATTAAGGGATGGTTTCTTAAGGGATTGTTTAAGGATACGTCAAAGATTTAGGATTGTAGGATTGTTGATTAAGGGATTGTTTAGTTAAGGGATTGTTTATTAGGGGATTGTTTTAAGGATTCAGTATAGTAAGAAATAGGGTATGAGTTGTATGGTATTTCCATTTGGCGTTAAGGGATTTTTAGGGGATAGTCCAAGATTAAGGGATTGGTGTTTAAGGATTTGTTTTTAAGGGAATTTTTTAAGGGATATGTTGTATTAAGGGATTGTTTAAGGTATTGCTTTAAACGGTCAGTCAGTTGTGGCAATTTCAAGCCCATTTTTTTAAAATCCGTGTGAAAACCAACGACAGTCCAGTTCCCCTGGGATCCTTTCTGACTTGCGGTCAGCTAGAGTTAGATTGTGGATTGTGTCAGTCTGCGGGAAAGGGCGGATCTCGGAATTCCGTCTCCATGACGGCGCTCCTTTGGTTAACCTCCCTCAGTGCAACTCTGAAACATCGATATGGTCTCGCGTGTTACTGTGTAAAATTAGTGTACCCGCACTTCAGTTGCAGAATCAACGGTACATGTGTATCGTTAAGGTAACAGATTCCTTTCGAAAGATTTAGATCGATTCGTGATAAAGGAACCGTTTGAAGTTACTAAGTTTAAAGTTAAACAGTACCGGTACCCATCCTCGCACCTCTGCGTGCTGCCGTTCACTTGCTTTGTGGCAAGTCCATTATTGAAGGTGCAGCACTGATATTCTCTCCCCTCATTGAATCCTCCTATTTAAACGCGGAGTAAAATCCAAGCTTGACCGACAACAGTGGCTGGTAGCTACCGGCAGGAGGGGTTCTTTATTTAATCGATCAATCGACGATCGAGTCAATCGATCGAAATGAGTAAGCTCGTATTATGAAGAGTGTTAAATGAAAGGTAAGCACTCGGACTTCTCTCCCTCATTGGGTTTCTATGGTATCAGAGAGAATTCCAAACTCGGCCGATCAACAGGTGAGTTGTTTTTAATTATCGAATCGAATCGATCGATCGCACCTCTGTTATCCAAGCCTCACTCCAGCCGTCCTTCTCCGGTGACGATTGGAAAGCCATTCCTCATTGAATCATATGGACCGTCGGGATGGCAGTCAGTTCTCGACCCCATGACGGCCAAGTTGGTGAAATTTGAAAAACAATGGGGGGTAATCCCGTGTCTCACGTTCAGAACAGAAGAGAAAACTCATATCTATTTCTTACTTTCTGTTCTCATTACTGCCCAGCCGAAGAAATCCATCGCGAGTCTCTTTTCGAACGGCACGATGCCACTACCGGATAACGAAAGAAGAAGAGGCTACCGCTACGGAGGAATCGTGTTAACTCCAGCCTACCAACAGCATAGAACAAAGAACATCGTCGTAAGTCATTGAATCGGCAACAATGGAGGAGGAGACTACACGAACAACTCGACGCCAAGAAGAGTGGATCCTCCTACGGATTCACCCCCCAGTGATATTTCCTAGTGTTTTGGGTGATTCCTGTGTCGGTACCCATTTTCCTGTATGCACAAGTCCTCGGTCGAATGACTTGCCGCTTTCGTACGATAAAGATTGATAGATAGATAACTCGTAAACAGTGGTGTTGAATCGATCAAACGACTGGTATGGTGGTACGGAGGTAAGCTCACCTATAATCAAGAGTGTTATTGAAGTGCAGATTCGAAAGCCATCCCTCATTCATTTCTATGGACCATGGGCGGGCAGTCAGTTCCCAGCCGTCAATAGGTGATCGGTCTTTAATTATTCGAATCGAAGATCGCACCTCTGTTATCAAGCCTCCAACTTAAGCCAACCGTCCGATGTAACTTACGGTACACTGGCTACAATGGCTGATTGACAATCTCGGTTGTGCATGTATGTCATAAGGATCCATTGGGAGGTAACTGAAGTGTTGGGAGCTTGGAATCTAATAAGGATCCAGAGACGAAGCTGAAAAAACCCGAATCTTTTCTTTACATTTTTTGCTGCCAAAACCGATGCTTCGTGAGGGTTAAGGCTAGGTTTCGTGCGTGAGACACCAATGCTCCTCGTACCAGTACTCGACTCGCCTAAGTAACCTTAGCTGATGTAAGAGGAAACTGATGAAATCGCTCAACCTCGAGGAGCGCAGCCAGTGAGAATAGAGCAATTAGAAGCAATCAAGTTGGCGAACTATTCCCAAACGCCAGTATCATCTACTCAATAGACGACAGTCCTTCAGCCAACGAACATTCAACGCTTGCAACGCAGTGTTCGTCGCTAATGGATGAATGAGCCAAGGCCAACATGCATGTTCCTTTCCCATGGGAACTCGGAGCGTGGGTAACATCGACGAAAAGCCAATGGCATGGTAACAACTGTATATACCCGTAACCTACAATAAGATAACAAACAACCCGAGCACAACCACTGGTCTAGCTATCATTGGCTACGAGTTCGTCTAGGCTACCGATACCGAGGAACTAATAGCTACGAGGACACATATACATCGCCACGAACAACACGTACGTCGAAACGATTACGCACCACGAACCATGGCATCCTCTGCACCGTCTGCGTCGGAATCCATCACGGCTGCTGTAGCCCAATTACGAATGGATGATGCAGCCATTGCCGTCAGCAGTGGTCGGCCGCAGCCCATTACCAGTTCGCCTCAGATTGTCGAAAACACGTTGAAAGAATTCTACGAGTACCTACAATTCCTAAAGGACAGACTGCAAAGACATCAACAACGAGAGCTGAAACGAAATCACAATCAGGTACGGAGCATTGCTAGCAATAGCAGTAGCAGTAGCGACGAAGATTCGGACAGCGAGGACGACGGCGACCTTAACAATCCCAAGAAGGGTCGTCACGACCACGACAATGATCCGACCATTACGACGACCCGAGAAGAGCAGGCGTCATTGTTCAATTATTGGAACAAGAAGAAGAAAAAGAAGAAACCAAAGAAAAAGAAAGCATCCAATCATCAATCCGACGGTGAAGGGCAGATCGGAGATGCTCGAGATGACGGCGAGGACACGGGAAAACACGAACAGCAACAAGGCGACAGCGACGACAATGATGGAAGAGATAACAATGACACGTCGTCTCAGGTTTCGTCGTCTTCCACCGGATCCGTGTGGACATTTGACAGAGATACGGTGCGGTATCTGCAGCACCTCGCGTACTTCAAAGACAAGATTCTGGAACAGATTGATAGATTCCCACTGCACAGCCAAGCCGGAAGGGAAATTTTGGAAGCCATTCAGTCGGCAGCATCACGTGGGAGTGCGCAACACTTGGGGAATCCGTCAGATGTACTACGGCATGTACGACAAATGGCACTATACGTATCCCGCCTCCTGCAAGAAATCCAACTCGTCGATCTAGACTTGCTGATACGATACATGGCGCAAAATCAACACGCTGGCAATCTTATGGCTGGAAAGGATGTTTTGCTGCTATGTGGCGCGGCACGGGCTGGAAAGACTACCACGCTGCACTTCTTGGCAGGGTCGACCTTGCAGGAAGTTGAAATCGATGGCTTCTTTCATATACAACCAACTGCTGTCAAGGACGAATCCTTGGCCAACTATGCCACGGCTAGTACCATTGCTGCACACGCGGTCGCCAACAACACTGGAACAACCAACGCTCTTGGAATGCTCAGTACAGATAGAGAACCCGTCACAAATCACTTGCAAACAGCTCAAGTCAAACTGCCAAAGACCAAACAAACTGTCATTATCTGTGATACGCCTGGGTTGGGACCTCATGACGATGGCTTGTCCAGTCAATCCGTGGAATGGGATATTGCCAACGGACTAGGGATGATTCGGGCCATTCATCGGGCCAAGACTGTTAAACCCATTTGGGTCATCAACCGAGATGAAGTCAGCTTTCGAGAACGATTCACGAGTTCGGCATTGGATGGGGAAACCGTGGCGGCCATGAAACGACTCATGAGCAAGTCACCAGAACCGCTAGACTTGGGGCCCTTCAACTATCTCTTCACCAAGTATGAAGCCAAACATCGGGAGGTACTGTGTCGTCAGTTTGCCGTCATGCGCAAGAACTATAGCAGCAATCACTATAGTACCGCCTCAAACCCAAATAACGCCAATCATCAACAAGACAACACCAACAACAGCAACCATCCATCAGATCTTCTGCTGCATCCCATTAGCTATCAGGAAGTCAATCAAAAAATGAACAATTACAGCACTGGCAGCAACAACAACCTGAGCAGCTTTCAACACAACAGCAGTCTTACCAGCTCCAACGTTGACGATCACACCTTCGCTACAGGAGGCTCCGCTGCAAACACCGCAACCTCAGTCACCACTCAAAATCAAGGCAAAAACAGACGGTGGATGAAAAAAGTGTTGGAGGACATTACGAAAAAGACAACACCGAGGGCTCATGTCGTATTGCCATTGGAAGACGATCCTGCAGCCTTTCTCCAGCAGCTTTGGGACGATTGTGCCACCGTCAGTGACCCCAAAAGATTCTTTGTCCCATTTGTAACGTACCCGGCACTAAAGAAGCTGCAGTTGCAGCTACGCATTACACTGAGCGATTTGCGCACGAGTCTCGTCGAGGAAGATCAAACAACTGCTGTGTATCGATTGCGACAATTGCAGTCTTTGGCACAGGTGCTTCCGGAGGCTACCGATTGCGCTAATCTTGGGGTGGAAGCAGTCAAGAAACACATGCTGGGACTACGATCGCGAGTGCTGGCTTCGATTGAACGCAGGGACTACAGCATGGCCATTCATCGGGCGCAGCAGCTGGTGACATTGTCGGTTGTTCTTCCTGAAGCCAAGACTTATGGGACCATCACTCACGATGCTGTGGTGCTGTTGCGAGACCTCATTTCGGCACTGCAAGCAACGGACTACAAAACTTGCCAGGATCGAATGACGAAGCTCAGCGAATTGGCGCGTGAGTTTCCCGAGGCCAACAAGTGCGCTCATTTCGCATTACAAGCCTCTATATCGCACGTGTCAGAGTTCCGAGACCGAGTCATCAAACTGATTGACACTCTGTTGGATAAGGAATCGACCGACCCGGGGAAGGAGGGAACGAAGAAATTCACTTCAATGCTGGAAACTCTCAACACAGAGCTGGCTAATGTGGTCTCGTCAGAACCTCTCCTGCTCTTGTGTGTCAAGGAAGACTACATTGGTTTGGACATGAAAGAGGAACGTGCCATGAAGGATCTCGCACGATGTACCAGCGAAGCATTCTGCATCGATCAAGTGGCACGCCTCACCGATAATCTCCGACGCGACATTCCCAACTTTCAATCCAGCACGCTCAATCGCGACGAACTACTGAAGCGACGAGAATTTGTGTTGACAGCGCTGGAACGCCTCAAGATTTGCAGCGTCCATTTGAACAAGAGTCCTGCCGGGGCAAGAGCCGATTCCATTTATCATCAGGCTTTCAAGTCCTTTCATGATCTGGTGTCATCAATACTCGCAGAAGCCGAACAAAAGTACAAGTCAACTTGGACCGACCTGGATGTGTTTGGGCGCAAGGTATGGTTTGTGGCTGTTCTTCTGCAGGGACCACTCAAGAACAAGCCGCACACAGCTCGAAGAGAGCACTCCAAGATTGAAGACTTGGAACGACGGGTTCTAAAGGTCATGCTTCGTCTTGAGATTGAAGTGAAGCGATCGATGGACCGACTCAAGAACTTCAAGTTTCCCGACTGCGGCACCAAGGCGTTCCTGAAACATACTCCCATTCCCGACTTTGGAGTATCAGAACTCAAAGCGCCCCGTTTCTTATTGATATCTGTATCCAAGAACGCCCGTATCCGCAAGCTGTTGCCTAGCAAGTTGGATGTTCTGGAACTGAACGTGTGCATTGCCATGTTCGACCATGCGCTGCTCGCCTTTTGGCGCAAGGTAGTGATCCGTTTGGAGCAAGACTACGCCGTGGTAGTAGCCATGCAAAAGACCCAGAAAGATCCTCAGGAAATCCTGGAAGCAGCAAAACAACTCCGGACGGACGTTGGTCGCGTGGAGAAGGAGTTTTTGGGCGTTTGCGGTTGGTCAGACGATATTACGACTGAATCCGAGGCTGACTTGAAGCGTCTCATTGCCGTTCGAGACTGCGTGCATATGGGAGTGAGGAAGATGGAGGAGATGGCCAAGACCAAAGGACGAGGATTGGGTTTCTTTGCGTGTGGGAACCTGAACACTGTGGACAGCAGCGGTGGTGGTGCCACTTCGACCGACTACCTGTGCCGGCCCAAAGTCCCGGACGGCACCACCCCCAACGAAGAAGGCAACAACAAGGACAGCTCCAACATCTTGTGCCAACCCAAGGCAGCACCAGAGTGAGCTAAAGATGGGCGTTCCTCATACCCCGGTATCTTTGCTTCTGAGCTAAATAGAGTGCTCGAGCTAGCGGATCCAAAGCAAGCAAGTCTCGCAACACACTATCGAGATGGCGTACTACTAGCGTGTGCACCAAGCAAAAGTCAAGAGCATCAAGTCAAGTCAAGTCAAGTCAAGTCAAACAGTTACTGTATGCATAGATCCATCAACCAATGAATGAATCTGGGTTGTTACATAGCTATTCTAGCTAGAGCAAGAGCAGTTGGTACCGGTAGCATCAGGGTCAAAATAATTGCAGTGGGGACGTAATGCGATATTCTCGGGGCCATAGTGGATAAAGTACCAGCACCTATGAGCTCTACATGCCGGTAACTACTAGCTAGCTAGCTAGTGGGCTACTCGTACTTAATAAAAAAAAAACTCGCTTTATGCATGCCGTACGGTAGATATTGGTATAAACGCAGCCTGTCAGGCCTCACTTCCGCATACTATTAATAGTGCTCTTTAGAACTTTAGAAGGACAGTCATGATGAAAAGAAGCCCCGGTGTATCTTGTTTATGCACAAAGCACAAAGTGGCAACGTAACAAAGCCTCCAAGCCTCAAAGAAGCCTGGAGCACCTCCAGGTAATTATTGGCTCTTAAGCTTGAAATGGGTTGGTAAAATTTCAAAACAAATAATTTTGCTGAAAATGATTATGACTTGGAACAGAAAGCTTAGGATCACTGGCATTAAAGCCTGGATTCCGGGCTTTAAAGTCAGTGTTCCTAGGAACAGAAGCCAGTGATCCAAGGGGTTAAAGCCAGCATTCATTTCTGTTCCACAATGACTTTATTATACAATTATTATCAGTACAAGCATGTTCCAGCTGGAACAACATAGAAGACTGGCTTTGTTCCCAAATAATGGAAGTCAGTGTTCCATGGAACACTGAATCCAGGCTTTAAAGCCTGTGTTCTTTGGAAGACAGGCTTCTCAGTCCTCAAAAAGGAACAAGTAGTACAAAATTACTTAGCTTTCTGGAAAATATTAATTTTTTTAGTTGAAAAGCTTCTTTACCGCCAGCTGTAGAAGACGACCACGCGGTGGGCGTGGGGACATACCGGTACATGTACATGTGCGATAGTCTTGGGGTTAGCAGATAGTGGATAAACTAGGTCTAGCTACTAGTAGCTAGCTCGTCTAGCTAGCTAGAGATGAGATTATGGGGGGGTTAGGCATGAGCGCGGGGGAGGGAAAAAGAAGAAGAAGAGGGAGAGGGTTATCGGTTGAGTTCCAGATTCCGAATTGAGAGCGTGCAGGGCATGTCGAACCACATGAAGAGGCACGAAGAGACATGAGCTACATACAATAAAGAGGGGAAATGGCAATGACCTGGTCATCGGCCCCTCCTCCGTTAAATCTCCTACATCCGAAGAACAATGTATATGTCAGCAAATACGTCACAGGAATTCAAACGAAATCTGCTCTTTTCCCATCCTTTGCTCGGACCAAACCCTCCCACTCCAACTTGACTGTCAGCGGCCGAGAAAAGAAAACCTTCCCAACCTGGTGTGATTTCAATGAGGATGGCTTTCTGCTCTGAACCGGAGACGGTCGGATTGAGCGAGGCTTGATACGGATCGATCGACGCCTGAGAGGGATCCAACGCTTTGGCCGTACGACTTGTAGTAGAGAGGGATCCAACGCTTCGGTCGTGGTGAACGAAGGAACTCCTCCTAGAAGAACACTAGCTAAAATATTCATTATTTCGATACCTTTACTCTATCGTTACTCTATCAAGATGGTGTTGTCTCCTCCTTTACAGCGGCTAGATGGTGTTGTCTCCTCCTTTACAGCGGCTACTCCTCTATTCCACCACTTCCATGGAGCGAACAACAGCCAACAACAAACACGACAGATCGATTCGGTCGATCGACAACAACAACACGCCACAACAACAAATGACAATGCTACTACTACTCTACCTATACCACTACCGACCGACTACCACTACTGCTGCGCTATTTTGCCTTGAAGTCAGTGCCTACTTCGGTAGGGGCAAGGCTCTTGGCATTATGGTGAAGCAACGGACAACGCTACTACTACTACAACTACTACTACAACAATAACAACAACAACTACTACTACTCCTTTGATTGCTGCTCTATTTGTTTTGCCTTGAAGTCAGTGCCTACTTCGGTAGGGGCAAGGCTCTTGGCAACAACATACAGAGTACTCCCATCCTTTCGACGCTCCTCCTTCCTCTACCGACGCTCCTTCCTCTACCGACCGACTACCACCACCAACCAACCACAACCAAAATGACAGCTGTGTTTGATGCCGCCTTCGGGCTACGCCGGAGGCTATGTCATTTTAGAGCGACACTGAAGCCTGTCAGCTTTCGTTCAACAATGTTGCCCCTATTCAAGAGAATTCAAATGTCCTCTTCCTCTTGTTACTGTATTCTTAATACAGAGAACGTGGTGTGCTCTCTTTGGAACACGCAGGCCCAAGTGTCTAGCCTTGCAGATTTTGCAGTGCTTTATCGGGTCAAACACTTCTGCTACCTCTCCTTCCATTGTTGTTTGGGCTCCTTCTTCTCTTGCTCTCTTCAATCTTTTGTTGTTGTTGTTGGAGGCGAGTTGATATGCTCTCTTCTGTTGGGAATTCCTATTCTGACTTTGGCAGCCCATGTCTTCTTCATTTTGTGTTGTTGCTGCTGCTGTTGGTGGTCTCTTCTGCTGCTGTTAATGACTGTCGAGTGGCTCCGTTGGTTGTTGTCATTGTCGATCGATCGTGCAATCGAGCTTGCTTCCACGGAATCATTCTTTCCCGAAAACAGAAACACGAAAATGGTGACTAGGTAGCACAGTTTCCCTGTAAATACTTATAATTGGTACGTTAAGTATTTTGAATGTTTGCTGACGTATTTGCTGACATATTAGCTTGACTAGCCAATCAAGTTTCTGCCTTTCACCGCTTTTGGGCCCGAGATAATACTCACCAACTGTAGCATGCTCCGCGCTGTCCACCCCCCCCCCCCCAGCCCTTTTCAGTTGATACTGTAGACTTGCTATTGGTACTGGTGGCAGCAGCTGTGGCAACTATGGCCCAGGCGATTCGATTCTGCCGCAGGGGCGGATGCGGCATGGCGGCCACAGGCCGCAGTTCTTTTGTGATGATATTGGCGACTCGACTCGACTCGACTGCTGAGTAGCACACTCGGGCAAAAGTAAGTGGTTCGGGGAGGTCGGTGGAGCACGAGTAGCAGCTACGAGTTACTTGTACTGTACAACTCCTAAGAAGTCGCTTCCCCTTGCTTCCGCTTACATGTAGCTGTACTATAATACTTCCCAGTCTACCGCAGACACCGAGCGCTCACGATTGAAGAGGCCACGGAGTAATTATTGCAATCACCCACCTACAGCCGTAACATCAAAGAAGCCTGTCTGGAGATTGACGATCGATACGGCGAGATAAAAACTACGTAGTGCGGCACGTTAGCCATCGCCATCTATGTTTATCTACTAGTATCAATCTTTTGCTAGCTAGCTGAAGCCATCCTCATATTTCTAATCATGACAGCAGAATCCACTTCCGATACAGGTACTACTGGTACTATTAATAGTACTGGCATGCTGTACGACCCGAATCGAGCCGTGTCGATGGCTCAGTTGGAAGCGGTAATGAACCTGTTGGTGCATCCTGTCTGGATTTTTGACCTGAAGGTTGGGCGAAGAATGCGTTGGGGAAATCAGGAGGCCGTTGAATTTTTCAATTGTGCTACGTTGCAAGAATTTGTCGACAGAGATTTCACCAAGATGAGTGAAGCCGTGGAGAAGCGCAATGACGAAAACCAAGCAGCCATTGAACAGGGGCAAAGACTGGTAGATCAGTGGACGTACTACCCAAAGGGACAAGCCAAGACTGTCAGAGTCACCACCAGCGGAATCTGTCTACTCGATGATATTGATATTGACACCCAGGCAGGATTGCATGTCTGTTTTCTGTGTGAAGCAGTTCCCATGCAGGATGAAGTTGTTGACAATAATGTCCTCAGAGGAGTGGAAATGCTGGTAAGAACAACTACAGAAACACACACGACACCATTAGACTACAAAAACAAATCAGTTCAGTACACGTATCAAGAATCAAAATCTCATTATCTACTTCTTTCTTTGTTTTTCTTTCTTGATTCATTATTAACAGCGCCACTTGCCCATTGCAGTCTGCCAGTTCGACACGAAGGGAAACTGCATGTTCCAAAATCCCGAGGCTTGTCTGTATGAAGAAGAAACTGAACAAGAGCCAGAACAAGAGCGCAAACAAAAACAAAAGCAGAAACCTGAACCAGAAAGAGAAAGTGATCCCCCAGAGACAAACCACAAAGATCAACCCAGCAACCCACAAGAAATCAAGTCCAACAGAAGGAGGAGAAGCAATAACAGATGCATTGCTGCTAGTGCTACTGCTAGTAACGACACAGAAACATCCTCCTCAGCCAAGTGCACCCATAAAAGACCAGCAAGGCAGAGGAGCAAACGACTGTCTTCGACACTTAACATGGAGGCTGCAGCAGCGGCTGCAGCCGTAGCAATGGCTGTTGACTCATCCCAAAGAAGCAATGCAACCCACTCATCCACCACGCACAACAAAAGACGGAAAAGGGCTGATGGAAATCTGCTAAGCCGATTTGTTGATCCAGCCGTGGGCACCAAATTCTTGCATCAGATTCTACAAACTTTTGCCAATACACAACTCTCCACAACCTGTCTCGAATTGGAAGCCATGCTGCACACACGAAGGGGGCCTATTTGGTCCGCTGTTCAAGTCCGACAGTCTGCTGACCCTGTCACTGGAGAATCGGTTCTTCTTTTCAATGCCCGTGATAAATCAGATGCTGTAGAAGCACGCAAAGAAAAAAGAGCCAGAGAACAAAAGGCAGAGTTCCTGGCAATCATGGCCCATGAAATCAGGTAAGATCAGAGCATAGTGTGCCATCCCAAACATACCATATTCATCACCTGACCTTATCTTGCAACCTTCCTTCTTTCTAATTTAGAACACCACTGCATCAGGTCACCGGATTTGTCGACCTGCTTGATCAAACACAACTTGACAAGGAGCAAAGATCATTTGTGGGTGTACTCAAAACATCCGTCCAGGGACTCATGACTGTCACCAATGATGTACTTGACTACAGCAAGCTGGAAGCCGGACACATGAAATTGGAAAACATACCCTACGAACCCCTAGCTGTTGCCAAAGGATCCCTAGAAGCAGTCAGGGCTGCATGTGAAGAACGAAATCTGTACCTACAACTCGATTGGGATACTCGCATACCCTTCAAACTGAAAAATGATCCCAATCGACTCAGACAGATACTTCTCAATCTGCTTTCGAATAGCGTCAAATTCACAAAAAAAGGCGGCATTACAGTTCGAGCATGCTATCTGAATGGCACCACTGATGACAGCAGTCAAAGGGACCATTCCTATGGTGAACACAAGGCAGATGGCACCACAAATTTTACAACAATCAAGGAGAACAACCACGGCAAACCCATGGTCAAATTCACTGTCAGTGACACTGGCATTGGAATAAGTGAAGAGCACAAGAAGGTCATCTTTCAAAAATACCAGCAAGCCAATGCCACCATAGCCAGAAACTATGGTGGAACAGGGTTGGGGCTCAGCATTTCAAATTCACTGGTGGAAATGATGGGGGGGTCCATGGGAGTGGAGAGCCAGGTAGGCAATGGAGCCACATTGTGGTTTCTCCTGCCTGCAGTCATACCCACCGAGAAGGATCTTGCAGGTGAAATGGACGAAGACGAAACGACGCTGCCAACAAGCCCCACAGCCACCATCAGTAACGGTAGCAGTTGCACACCACAATATTCTTGCCAGAGCACCCAAAATGGAAGCAATAGTGGCAGCAGTGACAACATGGCCAAACCAAGGATGGGGCTCAATGTCCTAGTGGCAGAAGACAACAAAGTCAATCAGAAGCTAGTTGTCAATATGCTGCGTCGGTTGGGGCACACGGCTTCAGTTGCTGAAAATGGCAAAGAGGCCATCGAAATGATTGAGAAGGGTGGTGCCAATCAATTTGACATCTGCTTGATGGACATCCAGGTACGTACCGGTGGTGGATACCTCTTCAGCTCAAACCCATCCAAAAGCAATGAACTGACCCATCATGACCCTGACACACAACTTGATGATGCTCATGGACAGATGCCTGTATGTGATGGGTTCGAGGCAACCAAAAGACTACGATCTATGGGGTATACCGACCTACCAATTTATGGTTTGACGGCAAGCATGGCACGGTCAGACTTTGTTGAGCTTGGGTTCAATGACTGGCTCCCCAAACCAATTCGACTGAAAGATCTCAAGGTCAAACTCAATCATTTGTGGAAACTGCAGCATCAGAGTCACCAGGAGGAACACGAACCACAATGCAAGGTATCGACTTCCTTGCATTGTGTTGAATGTTAGAGAACCATGGTGGGTGGATATCAGCATGTCGATATCCAAAACGGGCTGGGCCTGCATTGCTGAGGGTGGATCGATTATAATTTAAAGTAAGGTGCTATTTGTATGGATAACGGGGGATCAAGCCATCATGAGCAATGAATAGATTAGTCGCTTCAGATTTGAGAATTCAGTTGCACGAGGACTCCGTGGTGATAGAGTCAGCAACATCATCGCCACAAGGCCTTTAGCCGTCAACTGTCAGAACCTTCAACTTGCGCCGCTGTTTTTGGTCAATCCCTTGGTGATCACGTCACCCACAACCACCCATGGGAAACTGAAAAGTGCAGAGCGAACATCGACATTGTGCATTTCGGGACTGTACGTCGCCATGTAGTAAGCAGCAGCAAGTTTGCGTGAACAGTCCCTTGCGGCCTCAACCTTCGCGTTGCCGCAAGGAACAGATGTATCAGAAGCAGTTGTTGCGGCGTCCTGAATCCATTGCAAGTCTTCGTCCCGTGGCTCGTCGTCTTCGTCGTCCACCACACCGCTAAGATATTCATTGAATTTGTTGTTCAACATCTTGTTTGCCGCCCGGAAGAACTCATTCCGGAACTCTCTTCTAAGGAGTCCGAACTGTCTGCGGACCTCTTCTGTAACATCGTGCCTCCGTCGTTGATAGAGTTTGTGGTACTTGAGAATGCAGCCCGTGGCAATTTCACCTTCACATTCGATTCTGTATTGATTCATCAGCCCGATCAATTGCCGCTCGAACTCATGCCGCTGTTCATTTGCAAAAGCTAGCAGTTTGTTACTCAGCCCATCATTCAATGACCATCCAAGCCGCCTGGGGACTGAGGGGTTGTATATTTCCTGCTTGCACTTGATAATACCTGTTGGATCCACCAGGAACAGAATTTGGCCATTCTTGTCTCTGAATCGACCTGCGCCAGCGGTTTCATAGCCAGCTCTTGTGAAACTGTTCGCGGTTCGTCTGATTTCATCTATGATTTGATCATAGAGCTTGCCCACAATGCTGTCGCAGTGGAAAGATATGCCTCCCTTAAACTCGCGCCAATGAGCTCGTGGATGGGTGCTGGGGAACTTCAGATTGTTGGGAACAACAGCCGGAATGCCACTCTTTGGAAAGTCCACTGAAATCGAGTGAAGGTTGGCGAGTTCTAAACACTCTTCACAGCCAGCATCCTTTTTGTCGGCCGCATGATCCAACCAGAGCATGGCAATACGTCCAACATTGTCAGCCCGTGCATGATCAATGAAGTGGTCGATAAGAGATGCATTGTTTATGGCCTTGGCCTCCGGTGCCTTTGTCGATGGTGTATAATCCATTGGATCAGCAGTGCTCGACAGGAATAGCCTCTCATCCCAGGTCAGTGCAAACTGATCGCCGTCAAGATCCGAGCCGCTCATCTTGTTGGCTTCGGGCCTTTCACCATGCTGGCTGAACAGAACGACATTCTTGTGGCCTCGCAACTGTGGGATGTCAACCCCCAGCAGCATTCGAAGATCACCAGGGTGCATCACAGGATGCTTTGTTACCAGAACTGGTCCTAAGACCGGCTGAAACCCGTCGCCATCTTCCTCGTCCTCGTTTGTCGATTCTGCTCGTGGCATTCGAACTTGACAGAAAATGCAACCCTCGGGGACAAGGCCCAATTCGTCAATCGCCCCAATCAGCACTGCACCCTTGTCGACATGGATCCTGGCCTTCCTCCGCAGACCCATAAGGTGGTGTGCTCGTGTTGCGTGCAGACAAGAGAAAAGGAAAGGGTCCTCGTTTGGTTCCAAACCAGCGCCGAGCATCTGCACTAGAGTCGAAACGAGGCTGCTATCAGGACCGCTGAGACTTCGAATAAACGAGCACGCAAATTGTCGATCCGTGAGCATACGGTTCAACTTTTCAAGCATCTCTGCTTGCAAACCGAGAATAGTCCTGTCAGATATTCCCTGGCGGCTCAGGATTAAGATGACATTTCGGTTCAAGTAATACGGAACGTGGCTGCCAATAGACACAACCTCCAATGTATCATACAGGGCCTTGAATTTCACCATGCTTCGGCGTAAGAACACGTCGCAATTCTGTAGATCACTACTTTGGAACTGCTTGACTCCAGGATGCAGATCACGGTGTGGAAAGTTGACTCCTCCCGGCAAAGTTTTGAAGTCCCATCCTACCAGAACTCCCTTTGCCCCTCCAAGCCTGATCTGAATCACAGAGACATGACTCGGTTCCTTGGGACCGAAGGGGAAAGTGCTCACTAGTGCCGCAAGAACGTCTTTGCGTATGATTCCAGCACCATCTGAATGTTCCATCCATTCGCCCGTGGCAGAATTGAACGTGTTGATGTCATCAAGATCATCCTTTACTCGCAAATTGCTGGTTCTGTCCCCTCCAATACCCGTGTGGCCACGTGTTTCAACTGTAGTTGAAAAACACTGGCCAATCCTGGCGGCGTACTTGGAAGGGGTCTTGCACATGGAAAAGTCGCCCATGGAGTCTCGCATCGCTTCTGCGTACCACCCGTCTTCTGGACATACCATCCACACTGAGAGTTCCTTGAGCTGGCTCGACGAATAAGCCAGGAATCTGTATGTAGCACCGTTGATTTTGATTCCTTTCAGGAGCAAAGTCTTGATTCTGGTTGACAAGGATCCCGCTTGCAGGTCATCGGAGAATAGCTTGTCGCTGTTTTCGTCTCCAATACTGACCCGAACAAAAGATTCAGGTGCAAAGCTGTACTCTTGTAGGAATTTCCGAACTAGGCGGTTGCTAACTTCTTGCTGAAACCCTGCAACACACACTCGCGTAGGAGTGATGATAAGCCTTGGCAGATCGATGCAGAACTGAGGAATCGAGCGTGGCTCAGTTTCATCTTCTTCGACCGCAGCTCCATGCAAGGCAAGAAACATGTGGGCAGGATAAATCGTCTTGCCGTGAGAATCTTTCATTTGAGTCAACACCTGAAATACGAAAGAAAAGAAAATCGCGTATCAGTTTTTCAAGGAAGGAGGCAGAGAATGCTGCATGTGAAGCGAAACTCACATTTGCCACCGTGTTTGGACTGCCCTGACAGACCAAGTCGCAAAAGCCTTGAAGGCGATTATCATCAGTAGTAGCGCGATCCTCAAACATGTGGAGCCAACAACATGATTGGTTGTCCAAGATGGAACGGACAAGCAGCCCAACCTTTGAGTTTCCCATGCTTTCCAGAAGTCCGTTGAAGGCAATTCTTTGTGTCTCGTTGGCCAACTCGACCTGGAAGGCCTCTGCTTGCTGCATTGAGTCGACTCCGTCGCGGAGAATTCCGAAATTGTGCAGCTTCTCCACTCCCTTCCTGTTCAGAAGCAATCTGTTCATTTCCGTACTGCTGATTCGAAGTTTATAGCCCAAGCAAGATCCAAACGCCTCCTCTCCCAACCCAGCAATTGATGTGTGACGCTCTCGTTTCTCCCAGCCATTGGTTTCCGTCCAGGTCGAGCAGAGACGAGGCGGATGCTTCAACGAAAAGATCAAATAGTATTGATCTTGGTCACACCGACACAATTCCATCGGATGGGCTAGATCTTTGAAGCGAAAGGAGGCGAATTTCTTTTCGTCTCTTTTCAATGAACTGAGCATTGTCGCGAGAAGGATACCAAAGGAAGGATCAATTGAAGGGTCTGTTGCCTCACAATGCGTCATATCCAGCTCGACCACTGATTTCATGAAGTCAAATGAAACGATTGGGTTTACTTGGGTGTTCTTCTCCTCTTCCACCCAAAGGTGTTTGTCTGTTCTTCCAATCGTCTCAAGTCCAGGCATGTTCATGCATTCATCCTTTCCCATTGGAAACCAATGCCCGAAGGAAAGAAGTTCCGTATTGATACTAATGAGCTTGGAATTCTCCAGTTCATTTTCCACCATCCCAGGATACTTGGACGAGGGCCTGATCGTAATCTTGGGTTCTTCATTCATGCATGGATGGCTCCTTCTCCTGGGGACGTACCCCACAGTAAAGCAAACCGCGGAGGTAGCCTTGTTTTGCTTGAGTGCTTCGATGAGAGGCATACCAAATATCTTCTCGGCATCCTTTCGATCATAGAAACGCACACGCCCTCGTGGGTACCTCTCGCCCCGTTTGAACCGTCTCTCGCAAATCTCTACACGGCCATAATTCTCTTCCAAAAAGCTCTTGAGCAATTTGAGATTCGTAGGATCATTGAGTGACTTGACACTGCCTACAAAGACAGTGCGGCTCAAATAATCCTTTTCAATATCTGCAATCTCTTGAAGGAATTTCTTGTGATTGGTCTTGTATTCTTCTTGTCCTGCTTCGTCTTGCACGCTCTGCACCAAAGACTGCGCCCTGAACTGAAGCAATCGGTTCCTCGGTTGACGGTTGCGCTTGCGGTTTCGCCTCTTTCCCATGGCTTGATCGACGAATGTCTAGCTAGCTAGCTGGCTGGCTGGCTGGATGTGTCTTGACCTGATAGTTGATCTGATTAGGTGGTCGGTCTCAAGCTATGCGTCCTTGGTCAAGTACATGAAACCACTATGGATCCAGGTTGAAAAGAATGAAAGAATAGGGAATAAATGAAAATTTCAGTCCTCTACCCCATTCTGCAGTGCCGCCAAGACCTACGTAAGTTTGATCTTTTGGAACAACTCCAACGATCGATGCAGCTATCATTCTTTCAGATCAACCGTTTCGCTTCAGTCAATCTGCTCTGCTGTGGTGTGGTGTGGGTACCGGAATCATACATGCGGGATCGACTTCAGACAACCTCGGATGCCACTCGATCGATCGTTGAGCATAACAATACACATGCATGATACCCCTGGATTCGACTGCGCTAGCTAGCTACATAGTGTCAGAGCTTTGCCCAAGATCCTTTCGAGCTGCAGATCGAGAGGACATGCTAATTCGATGTCTGCAGCAAAGAGCTCGAGATTACTGCACGTGCTGTTGCGCTGTTGCCATGGTAGAGTCAGATCTGCGGTACCGGTACGATGGAGTCGAGTCGAGTCAGTCGAGTCGAGTCGAGTAACTCAGTCGATCATGTCCCTTTTTTTTTTTTTAAAAGTACGTGGTGGTACTAGCTAGCTAGCTAGCTAGCTAGCTAGCTAGCTAGCTACCAAGTACCGGTAGTACACGGCGGTGTTTCAAAATAGGGTGACGGGACCCTTTGGTTCGTGAACGGAAACGGAGGGGCGATCCACGCTGGGAGGTGAAGGCTTTAGCTACATAGCTAGCTACCGGTACTGGTAGTGGACGCTGGGCCTGCAATCACGTCTTTGCCTGCACATGAGCTTCCTCTTTCTGCAGCCTGGTGCTCTCGAAGAAAAGCCGATGAGATTTCCGTATGGTCATGTATTGCTCGCACAGAGAGTTTGCTTCAGTGGGGCAATAAAAGCAAGCAAGCAGCCAGCTAGCTAGCCAGCGATCCCTTCCATCGTATTGCTTGAGAAGGGATCTTCACTTCACTACTACAGTCATGTCATGTCTTCCCCAGAAAGCTTGGCCTTATGGTTCATTTCATCGATCTCTGCACAACATTTATGCCCAGGCCTCACGGTAGTTGCAACTGTTGACACCGGCAGGATGCTCGGCAACAGATGCACTTAATGGGTTGTTTAGTCATGTCTGGAGGAGCAAACCTTCCTCGAAATTTGTGTAGTGTACTGATCCACCCAAACGGGCAAGAGCGACGCTTCTTTCTGGTGGGTGGTACCAGGTGCGAACCGTGACGGGACGGGGAGTGCCTGGGAAGATGAAGGAACAGGGAAGCATCCAAGATGTTGAATAGTAGCGAGTTTTTGCGACGGATGCAGGGATTATTAGATAGCTAGAGTCCAAGCAAGGAGAGAGAATAATTTTGGCAGGTTATTTACAATGGTCTAATTAGTGTCGTCGTTTGTGTTTGTACTAGTGGCAGCTCTATGGAGTGAGCACGCCTGGTTGCGTTCAAAATTTGTTTTGTTTGTTGGTTTGTTCAGGGCAGAAAATATGTACAGAAATTGCTTGCTCTGTGGAGCTTGCGAATTTAAGCGGCCATGGGCGCACAAGAGTTGTAAAAGGGCAACTCGTAGCTGTTGCTGTTTCCCTCGGCAATGGGGGTTGGTTCAAAAGGATCGAGTGCGAACTCGGCTTGGTCTTTTCCAAAGGCAGAAAAGAGCATTGAGAAAACATCATCTGCTGCAGGTTCAGTTGTGGTAAAGGTCAATGGGAAGGGCTCTTCCAGTGCCTGCATTTGTTCATTTTCGAACTGGAATGCCAAGCTGGTTGCCTCATTGAGAATGTCGCGGAGATGGAACATGTTGATGGATGCTGAAGCAGAGGAAGGAAGGAGGGCAGCTGGCTTGATGGGGTCAAAATTGACTGTTGCATGGCTGACAAGGCTTGGCATTGGGACAGACTTTCCTTGGATGCTTTTGCGTTCAAGACGGCGGATTGCCTTGTGTTTCTTGCTGCTCTTGTAGGTTCCGCTGAGGGCGTCACGGAAGGCCTGTGCAATGGCAATACGACAAGAGGCTTCTTCCACTAGAACAAAACGGCCACCAGCAGCTGGCTTGACAAAGCCCACTCCATTGTCAGCGCGCACTTGAGACAAGACTTGCATGATGATTTCTGATTTTGTTCCCTTGGTGGGAGCATTGGAGTAGGCATCCAGAGTAGCTTCAATAATGGCACGGAATCTTCTGTTACCGGGGTTTTGAGTGCATTTCTTACCACGGCCAATAATGCAATCATGAGGTCCAACTTGGTAGTCTGAAGGGAGGTAGTTGCGAAGATTGAAGGCCATCTTGGTTGCTTGCTGTTTGAAGTTGCTGGTTGGGATTGTGAGCTTTTGGTTTTGTGAGCTTTGAAATTGTGAGGAGAAGGCTGGCAGATTTCCATTCCTGATAACATTCTGGACATCGCCGACAGTTCGCTTTTCCCGCTCTGCAAAGGCCCTGTGAATTGAAGCAAAAATTCGGAAACCGACATGTAAAAAGCTACGACGGACAGTACTGAACTGGCTATCATTATTAATATTTTAAAAAACTTGCTGGGGCTTAGTTGCGAAAAGGGGAATTCGGAAGGGCGAGCCAAAACACAGCAACAGAAATCTAATCGTCCCTTGGACTCGACTCTTGTTTGGGCGATCAGGCACTTTCTGACATACATGTAACATGATATTCTCCGTCGTGCCTGGTCCGTACGTAGCTTGTTTCTGATGGCTCGTCACTGGAGATGCGCAAGTGGCTCCTAACTCTTTTCACCTGTCGAGAACTTGAAGATGCCGTGAACATTCCATTACGACTTGTAGGATTGCAAAGCATGAACCAAGACGGCTCCAAGACTTGCATCAGGCAGGACCTTTGTTCTCATTGTGCACTCTGCCACGTACTCATGTGTACAATATTGTTGATATTGGAAGGAAAAACGCAAAAAAGCGTCAGAGTCTTCTGTTCGTAATCGCGACACCTAAGCACGGCCGCTATGTCTTGTCTTGCGGTATGGTCAGAATCTATCTTTAAACGCACCCAAGAAAAAGCCTGTTTTGAGGCCGCTCTCTACCCAAGCGACTAAAGTAGCGACTAAGCCATATTTCGTAGTTTAGTCGATAGTTTAGTCTCTGAGGGTGGTGTCTACCCAAGCGACTAAACGTCCCACGGACTAAAGGCTTTAGTCATTATGTTCGCTCACCGACTAAAGGGAGGCTGGTTAGTCGGTGAGCGAACATAACGACTAAAGCCTCTTTAAGAACTCTTTAAGAACAGCACTTTAAAAAAAGAACAGCACTTTGAAAAAAGAACAGCACCCTCATTGCACAGCCTCAACTATCAGAGCATCGCGACAGAGCTGATAGAGTAGAGGTGCAACCGATCGAACGATCGAAGAGGAGTATCGGATCGAACGACCGAAGAGGAGTATCGGCTGATAGTAGAGGTGCGATCGAACGATCGAACGAACGAACGAATCGACGATCGAAGAGGAGTATCAGCCGCACCTCTATCGCACTTACCCTTTATCAAGCCGACAGTCTTCGGTTGAGAATAGAAAGCCATCCCTCATTGCAGAGTATGGATGCGGGATGGCTTTCATTTCTCGGCCTTTGACTGATGATAGTAGAGGTTGCAAACGATCGAACGATGGAATGACAGAGGAGAGGTGCATCGCAATGGTGTGTTTTGAGTCTTGTTATCTCAGTCTTGTTATCTCAAAAAAGTAATCACTTCTTTTAAGTCTTTGTTTGAGTCCTTTAAATCCACCATGCTGATAGAATATTGGTAGCCCACCAAGTGATCACTTTTGTTAAATCTTGTCTGAGTCCTTTAAGTCCACTAGTGTTCCGTTTAGTCATTTGTTTAGTGCTCTGGGTAGACAGGTCCAAATGACTAAAGAACTGACTAAATTGTTTAGTCCGAGATTTAGTCATCTGCTGGTAGACACCACCATTACTAAAGGATAATGACTAAATCTTGAACTAAACAACCACCTAAAGGATTCCTTTAGTCGCTACTTTAGTCCCTCTGGTAGAGAGCGGCCTGAGTTTCCCCTCCTTGCCACTAAAATAAAAAAGTGCGTCAGAGCGTCAGAGGCTTCCCTTTTCGCTTTCTCTTCACGAGACCTCCGAAATTCTTTTTGTCGTTCGGAGTATCAAGAACAGCTCAAGAACTGACTCTCTTTCTGAAAAGCTGAGCTGGAGGAGATAGTGACTCAGACACACAGCCATCGAAGCAGCGGATGCTTTCAATCCGTGGACACATCAGACAATCAGAGAAAAACAGCTGGCCAGTGAAAACTTTGTCGCTCCCAAACATCCGACAAGTCAAGTCTGAAGGAGCTGGGTAGCCAGCTAGCTAGCTAGCTACTCGTGAAGCCCTCTTCCAAGCGCTAGCTAGACTCCTATTCGGAGCATCCTTCTGGTAACAAAGCAAGGCAGAAGGCTTGAGTTGTAGAGCAGCTGTAAGACTATTCTGCTCCTTCTGTCAGCCATCAATTAATTGTTCGCCACTGTGGGCGGCGACGACAAAGAAGGCTCGGGCCTGCTACGACGAGTTCATGAATGCTGACTGCCCCCGAGGATAGCAGCCACGCATTGGACCACTCTTCATGTACTCAGTAACTCAGACCAAGACAGTCTTCCCAGCAAACGAAAGCGTCTAGAGTGGCAAGTTGGAATGAGTTGGAAAAGGCAGCCGGGAGCTGACAAATAGATATATTGCAATGTTTCCAGTTGACTACACAAGTACGTAGGCAGCCAATCGTACAATACAGATGATGATGCAGGATCTTGTCTCCACTTCAGACCCCAGTCGTCGGAGGCCTTGCGGCCGCCACTGTTGGTGCGTGAAGTCCTGACGCACCAAGCTAGCTGCTAGATCTGTCCTCCAAACAGGCTAGTCTACTGCTGTAGATCTGTCCAAACAGCCAAACAGGCCACTGCTAGTAGCAGTGCATACATGTATTCGTCAAAGCATTCCATAGCAAAGACACCCATGGTCTGTCCATCCCAATTCTAGTGACGAAGTCACTGCAGATGCAATCGATCGTGGCTAGTTTGCACGGGCGACAAGAGACGAGCAAGAAAACGAGCAAGCAAAATACAGTCCATGATTTGAGCAACGAAGCAAGAGACAGACAGCAATCGCTTCTGACTGCCCACGTAGTGGCTAGGCGCTCCAGGAGATGTACCCCCAGCCAGCCAGAGTAACGGCAAATCGTAGAAGCTGCATATTAGCTAAGCAAAACAGGCAGCACATTGATGCATCTCCCTAGCTAGCTAGAGTATCGTCCAGCTTCACTGTACCGTGATGATTGCCTGCAAGAATCTAGAGTCTCCAGAAGCCAGCGCAAGCCAACCGCAAGAGTCTAGACGAGTTGCAAATACCTACCTGCCTGGTACCGCCTCTCAAAACGTTCTCGTACGGTACTAGTACCGGTACTGGTAGCGCAGCAGCCAAGCGACTCAGCCAGAACCGCCGAATGTACCGTACGCAGATCGCTGACCGACGCAGCAGCCAGTGCATGTACATGTACCGGTATCGGTATACGTACGAGCACACAGCGAAGAGAAGAAGAAGGTTGAGAGAAGAAGAAGCAGGAAGACAACTACTCCTGCTTGACTGTCCACATCATTGTTCTCCTAATCTTGGCTGTTTTCTCCCACTCCCGGGCCTACTACTAGTATCTACGTATCTACTCATCATCGGAGTACCCGTAGCCTGATCGGGGCGAACCAGCTACCATATCCGAAATTGAGTACAATTCTTCAATTCTATGCAGTACAATGATTTTGCATGCAGTCTCTCCGTGTACTCCGGAAGAATGAGGGAGCATAGCACAGAGCTAGCTAGAGGTACCGGTAGCAACCGACCAAACATCTTACCATTGATCTAGCCAAGCGGAAAGCCCGAATACAACAGTAACAATTCCCTATAGTCCACAACGGACCAGCGAATTCAGGTACGTGTCCTTCTCTCCGAACAATTAGGGCTTCCGTTTTGTTGGTTTGCTGCTGATTCAGGACATTTTGAGGTTCTTGCGACTCCAACCCAGAAGCTACCCAGAGAACACTCGGTTGAATCGCATCTCTCTCTGTGGTGAACTGGCGGATGTGTCTGATCCTGAAGCGAGCCACGAGGCAGGACCAAACTCCCGGCCACCTGCCCTCTTCGATCTCACAATTTCCACTCTCACAAAACAAAAAACTGCACGAACAAACATCATACAGTATCTTATCACCCGATTCTGATACCGCTACGAAGATAGATAATCAAGATGTGCATCACCAGCCGCGATACCATGATCCCCCCAATGATTTTCATTCCATCATCTTGCGGTGGTACATTTGAAGTTCGCACCATGCCTGTCCTCCCAGAAGCTGAAGAGTTCGTGGACACTCGCTGGGACGAAGGATCCGCCAGCAAGAAAGACTGCCCCGCATGCGTCTACAAGAACGACCGATGGGCATGCACAGCAGAGTGCAACCCACTCCGATTGCCCACTCGAAAATCCTGCCCTCCCAAAGATTCCGCAGCACTTCCTCCCAGACAACCCATCCGGCGTCGTCGTTAAGCTGGCAATCGGCTACCTAGCATACTGGTACAGCCAAGCATGAACATTTTACAAAGCAACCTCTACTTTGACAACTATACATACAGCAGCACCAATTCTGCTCTCAACCTGAACATAACCCACTCCGCCACGCTACCGCACATACTTAAAGCGTCGACGATGTACTACTATTACAGTATTTTAGAACGATTTACCAAATAAATCCACTTGCATTTTCCACTACTATACTAGCCATTAGCTAATACGACACCAGCTTCTCTGCTCTGCATTGGAGTGCTCATGCATGTACGGTACCGTATTATTACTGGTACAGCCAGCTCAGCCACGAGTGCTTGTGCTGCAGGTGCATTCAATGGGAAAGGGATCTGGGGAACAATCTACCAAAAAGACATACAGAAAAGGGATTTAGAATATAGTGCTGGAAAGACTGGCTGCCAGTGAATTGGTTGCTGATAAGTACAGGAGATTCAGTTTTGGAAAGCAATCCAAGCTCCGAAGGAATGGTATTTGTGAGCGAACTAGTTAATAAAAGTACAATCCCAACTGAATCAGAATCCCAGGGTCCGGCGGCAACAGAGAACCACCTCAAAGGACATGCTTCCAAAGGATTAAAAGCACTATTGATGTGTTGCTACCGTATCGTAAAGATTGAAGGCATGCAAGCAAGCTGAAAAACCCCAAGGGTTCAAACTTGAAGCGGGATCGAGAAATCGAGTCTAGCTACCGGTACCAGTACTGGTAGCTAGCTGGCTAAGCAGACTAATGCGAACGACCGCGCACCAGGCCATCCATAACCCTGTCTCTATCTCAGTTGCTCCAATTCGATGATGTTTCCGAAAGAAAAGTCAAGTCGAACTCATTAATTTTCGTAGATTTCTATTGCCCCTTCTTTTGTGGAGGGAAGGGGGTGTAAATGGGAGCATGCATACTCCGTGCTACGCTCCGTGAGCCGATAGCAAAATTGCCCTCGGTTTTTCATTTAGACTGGTCCCTCTACCTATGACATATAGGTCTAATCACAGACGTTAAGTATCTTTCTGTGCCATTCTGCCCGAGCCAATCTCGAACTTTGTGGTACGTGGTACGGAGCTTACATAGTCACTCGCGATCCTGTCGTGCATGTACTCGTACGGTACGGTACGGCACGGTACTACTACAAGTACCGGTAGCTTGACTAGCATAGTACATGACATTGTAGTATTTTAGTTTAACTAGCTAGTACCAGAGAGTACCGGTACAGCTGTACGCACAAGAGTGGCTTTTACTCACGTCCTCTTGACGTCGACGGAATCAACTACTGACGGCAAAGATATTTGAGGGTTCTTCGTGGTACGACTGCTGTATCACTTATTGCACTGCTCAGGCAGCTTTCACAAATTTCATTTTTGTGAAAGTGAAAGGGCTGCCTGAAAGAAGAACCACAACCTTCAGAAGTAACTTTCGTTAGCGAGTATACTACTATTGCTATTGCTATTGCTATTGCTATTAATAGTGCTAGTACTGGGCTATCTGATCAGATCAAGATGAAGTTCTCGAGCAGTGTGTGTGTTACTGCGGTGAGCATGTGCATGTCCTTGTCATTCAATAGCAAGGTTGCGTCTGTCTCTGGTGCCAAGGAGTACGAGTGGTCTACTAGCTCGTATGAGATATGGGGTTCTGATCAATCGAATTCCGTTGCCAATCAGACAGCGTTGGGAGTTGCGGGAAGTTTCTTGTGGATTTGGGACGCCGAGGATCTCAAGGAGACCATTAATATTCAGCTTCAGGCAGAGCAAGGCTCCGTCTCTACCAAGTCCGGCGAAGCTCCAGCACCAAAGTCGTGTTCGCCTGATCAAGACAAAGGCCCGTGTGACTTGTTCACCATTTACCCTGCAGAGCTGACTGACTCGGTGTCGGGAGAAACACTCACTCAAGTCGCTGGATTTGGCCGTTGGCATGGCGTCACCAAGGATCCTCAAAACAAATATGTAACGGCCAATATCTTTGCTCCTGCTGGAGGATTTCTCGGCATTGTAGATGCCACTACCAAAGCTGCAGTGGCTCTCTTTAGAATGACCGAAGCCACGTATTCCACGGGAGACGACCAGGATGCTACCAATCGCAACGTTCACATGAGTTTCTGGAATGGAGATGGATCGGCGATTCTTGTGCACAACTTGGCAGGTAAGCATGGAAACACCCTCTCTACTCGTAGGAGTAAAAGTGTTCAGGGATGTGCACGCATCTACTGCTTTTAATCCTTTTCCTTTTTGTTTGCACAGGCAAAGTCCTGGAACGCATCAACATTGAGCGCAATGAGGATGGCAAGATTACTGGCGCCTTTCTGGACAAGAGTGCTGCGGTAGGATTGGGAAAGGGCATGAGTGTTGCCACCGAAGCCTCGTTCTTTGAAGGAAGCAATGCCTTTGGAGATGCCCTACTCGGCGGTCTCGTGGGGTCCTACGATGAAGCTGATTTCGACGATGCTACCCCTTCAGGAGCCTGCAAAGAAAATGGATGTGCGGTGGGAGTGGATGCTGGAAGACCAAACAACTTGCCCATTTGTCCCATTATCGATGGTCACACTGGGCTCGTCTTTAACACTCTGGCCGGTGGGGGCCTCCTGGTTGTGGATTCCACAAAGACTCCCATGACCATTGTAGGAGGCTATGGAAACGATGTCATTTATGGAGCTGGCGTTTGTGGTACACAAGTTGGGGACATGGTTTACTTTACCAGTGGGGCTTCTGCTTCCGGTGCAGGAGCAACCCAATCCTTGTTTACCGTCTATGCCCTCGATCCAACCCAGTACGACACCAACGCCACGAGCTACGAAGAAAACATGCCAGAGGCTACCGTGGTCTTTGACGACCCCGCGGGAACGGCGACAGGTGGAAAATTGACGCGCGAAGCAGAGAATCTGTCTGGACAAATTCCTGGAACCACCACGCGTCGCGATGCCCATGATCTCGCTGGAACCATCGACAACAAGTACGTTCACGTGGTCGATCGCGTTCAAAACGTCATTGAAGTAATGGATGCCATGACGAATGAACGCGTAGGAACCTATGATCTCACCACTGCTACTGGCGTTGCCGGGGACGGAACCGTGGGGCCTTGTAACGTTGCTTCCGTGACGGATGGAGGAGACGAGTTTCCCATCAACGATCCGGCACCCGATTTCATTGATGCCACGCCCGATGGAAAATACATGATCCTTTCCTTGCGTGGTCCAGCTCCCGTTTCGGCAGGCCATGCGGCACAAGGATCCTGCCCAGGTGTTGGCGTCGTGGAACTGCTGGAGGGAGGAAAATCGGGAAAAATGGTCGGGGTCTTGCGCAGTACCAACTCGGTGCCGGATGATGTGGGGGAAATTGCTCCTACCGGTGGAGCCGTTTACCCGGGAGACGAACGAAGTGATGTTCACGATGCTGTTGTAATCTTTCATGCAGAAGACGACCATGCTCACTCCTCGGGTGGGGGTGAAGAATCAGAAAGCGCTGGAGGTGACTCGGAGAGTGCTGGTGACGAGACTATGGAGGATGGTAAGGAGTCGGCGGCCAACCGTGGCTCTTGGATGATGGCCGTTGCCGCGGCTGCTGCTTTCGCCGTGGTGGTGGTGTAAATGGAGTTCTTGAACGGGCACTTGGGTGTGGCACTGGCACGGTAGTTATACTTGCGCAAATGTATCTTATGTGGTTGTCTACAAATGAAAAGATGGAAGAATATAGAAAAGTGTTTTTTCCAGTTGCAGCCCCCCTCGTCTACTTCCTTTGTTGAGTAATCATTCTTTCCCGCCAACCATGGTTCAATGGCTAGCCTATCGTAATAGTCTTCCAAGGCTTTGCTGTTGTTCGAGTGTACGGTGGTACTGTTCTGTTTGACGACTGGTGGCATCATGATGGTGTCATCTATGTTCATCTCAAGTATGCTACTAGCTACGGCACACTTATGAAGTTTCGCGAGGGAAATAAATGGAAGTTCTATTGTGGAAGTTTGTCTATACCGAGGGAATACTATGCTCGCCCGTTCGGAGCAAAAAGCTGTGCCGGGGTGCGAACTATTTGCCGTTCAGGCGGCCATTGGTGCAAAAGCATTGATCAAAGGAAACTCATGGTTGTTGTTGCCCTCGGCGAGAGGCGTTGGTTCAAACGGATTGCTGCACAACAACGAATCCTCTTCGGCTGTTCCAAAGGCAGTAAAGAGTTTGGAGAAAATGTCATCAGATGCTTGAACTGGCAATGGCTCCCAGTCTTCCTCTGCTCCTTGCTTTTGTTCCATTTCCACGGAAAGTAGCATGCTAGTTGTCTCGTTGAGTATGTCGTGGAGCTGAAACCTATCGAATGATGTTGAGGTAGGGAGGACAGAATGAATTGAAGCTGGCTTCATCAGGTCAGAACTAGTGTTGTCAATGGCAGCTGAAATACCAACAAGGCTTGGCATAGGGACGTCTTCTGAGAAGAAAATGGATCGAGAGACTGGCTCACAGCCTGAAGAAGTACTGGTAGTGGCAGACTTTTCTTGACTCTTCTTCTCATTCTTGCGTTCAAGGTGGCGGATCTGCTTGTGTTTCTTGCTGCTCTTGTAGGTTCCACTTAGGACATCACGGAAAGCCTGAGCAATGGCAATGCGGGAGGCAGCTTCTTCCACTTGGATGTAACGGCCACCATCAGCTTGCTTCACAAAGCCTACCCCATTGTCAGCCTTCACCTGAGACAAGACCTCCATGATGATTTCTGACTTCTTTGCCTTGGAGGGAGCATTGGAGTAGGAGTCTAAGGTTGTTTGGATGATGGCACGGAATCTCTTGTTGCCGGGGTTCTGAGTGCATTTCTTGCCCCTACCAATAATGCAATCATGAGGTCCAACTTGGTAGTCAGCAGGGAGATAGTTGCGAAGATTGAAGGCCATCTTGGTTTATGTCAGTAAAGAATGTGGAGGTTGGTTATTGGTTTGTTTGGAGATATCTGTTTCTGAGCTAGCTAGGAAATTGTGAGTAGTCTATTTCGAAAACTTACTTGTCTTTTTTGTTAGAACAGGGAAAACAAGAACTTCAAGTAGCTCTTCAAGTTGTGCTGAGCTGGCAGCCAAAATCTACTTGCAAGTTGCGAAAGGCCCTTACTCACTCGGGAGTACCGGTAGTCCTTTAGTGTCCGCGGTGCTGAATGAAGATCGTTCGATCACGATCCTTCATCCTTCCAACCCTGCCAGCACATTGGGGGAAGAAAATAAGAAAGGGCGCATAATTCAAGACAGCTCGCCACTGAAAGCAAAAGGCCTTCCGCTTGAAGTATGGCGGGAGTGTACGAGATGCGATAGAGCTTGCTTTTGAAAATAGCTAATATCACGTGGCTTTGTGCCACGCACGTGTAGTTTGAAGTTTAGCAGACCGATTTCTTGTCTGTTGCTGATCTGGCGGGTGAAAAACGAGAACTTGAAGGGACTGCAGGCCTGGAACCTGGAACGCACTTGAAGAGAGGCGGAGTCGATCAGCAGGAAGGCAGCACGCATTTCCTTGAAAGAGCACAATGTATACAGTTTGCTTGCTACGATGCCATCCTTGGTCTGGTGGTGCGCCTATGCAATAGTACGGGTAGCGCTCGCTTCACCAGCTACATGTCCCTTACAGGTGCCCGGAGACGTTGACCATCCGAGCATCCGAGACAATGGGACCAGAGTCAGCCTGTTCCAATAGAACACCGGGATTGCTTCATGGTTTAGTGGATAGCTTTGGCAGTATCATACTATGGAATGGCTCCTTGATCGTCCTGTTCGTACATGCATAAATGCTTCGCTCCTCGAATGAACTAGAAATAGACACAACACGATCGTATTCATCTTGCTTATTCAGAGCATGCTCCTTTACTCTTTATATGAAACAGTGCTCGCCTCACACTTGGAGTCTCATTTGATCATTCTACTTATCCTGTCATATTCTATCACATCCATCACAAGTTGCTTGCACAAGGCAAGCTCACACTTTCTTTGGGAGATTCTTGGCATTGGTCAAGCACACCTTGCGACCACCGATGAAAGCCTTGGAGCTGGCGATCTCCCTGGTCACCCAGGCAGCAACATCCGAACGGTCAATGTTGATGGAAGGGCCTTTTTTGATTCCATCAAACTCAACGATGTAATCCAAGTTTTCAATTGCCTTGTCATCTGACAAACCACTGGGACGAACCACAAGAGTACGCTCCGTCAAACTATCGAATTCAGCTTCCTGTTTCTCATGATCCACAAAAACATGGCGCAAATAGTAAGCGAGAAGCATACCAAGACCAAATCCAATAATCACATTGGTTTCAGCAACCCCGTGGCTACTCATGACGACAGCCTGGATGTTGGAGAACTCTGGCTTTTTCAAAACCAAAGCCAAGGCACGACCGGTTGCTTCACGAGTATCAGACTTTGAAACGTCGTGGCCATTTCCAGTTGCGAGAATCACATAGTTTGCCTTTGAGTTGCGCAAGGCAGTTTCCACATCATTGGCATCTCTAGCATTTCCTTTCTGCACAGAAGCTGCAAGAGCTCGATCGGCAGATTCAAGTTTGCTGGGGGTGCGAGCCATGACATGGACCTCTCCAATGCTGGAATTCTTGGCAAGGTGACGTAGCAGTTGCAGACCAAGGGCACCAGTGGCACCAATGATGAGGACAGATTTGTTTCCGGTGGTCATGGTGTTTGTTTTTTCTTTGGGTTTTTGTTGTTGTTTTTGTTTTTGATTTGATTGATTGTTGTTTTTGTGAGCTTCTGTACTGGTAGATCCTCTCATTTTCAATTCCAAGCCCCAACTCTTTTTGGTACCGGTGCAGTATCGGGAAAGTCACAGCTTCGCCGATGGATCTTTGGATTCTTTGGATCCGTTGGTGGCTCGTGGTTTGAGTCACGTTACGGTCCAAGGGGTTTCCAACTGATCTAAAACAGCTTCTAAACTAAAACAGCTTCTAAACTGATTCGTGGACTCGTCGGATCTCGAGATACCCAAGGGCACATGCTTCCGGAGAGGCCAACCCTCGTTGGAAACGGGTGTTGGGGTCGAATCCTTGATGAGCTCGGGCTCGAGAAGCTCAAGGAAGACCATACAAAGAGTCTCTGACTACGGTACAACCAACTGATGGCGTTCAGACTCGTGTGGAACTCTTGAGAGTCTTGGCGTGGGCTGTTGGGCAAGGTCTGAGCAAGCAAACCGTGTTCAATTGAGGTCTCCGACGAAACTCAGCTTCTAAAGACCAGATCTGGGAGGGCAGTCAAGTCGTCACATGGTTCCAAACAGTTCGACAACATCAGACGAGCTGAGCGATGCCAGCGGATGCACGGTAATGGTAGCATGTCGGCCTATCGGTACCGCTGCAAAGTGGCGCCGTGGTGCGGAGAATGCTGAGTCAAAAGCTTTCGAATACACGCAGTCAAGAGCGATATCGGTAGTAGCGGTACGTAATGATTTACTCCGGTTGCTTTCTTTCTAAAATTGCGAGAAGGGCCAATATGATTCGGTTCAAATGGATTGACGCACGCATAGATGAATGGCTTGTACTATGCAAGGGCGCTTGTTTTGCTTGTTCTTATTCATATCGGTACCCCGGAGGTGGAATGGCGTGCTGAGTAGTGGCATGCAAGGATTAGTCATTCATCAATGCAAGGGATCTAGGATCGGGGGTATGGAAATGTCTCGACATCAGTTGAGGCATCAAATTTGCGTTCAGATCAATATATGTAACACCTAGATCGTTGGGCCAATGCTAAAGAGCAAGCAAGCAGCAGAGCACATGAGAAGCAACGAAGCAACCAAGGAGCTTACAACGCACCAATGCTATGCAAAAACTCTCCCACTCTCTCTCTCTCTCATGCCGACCTGATGGCCTGTGTACCGCACCCCCCCCTCCCCAGTGAATCTCGATGCACGCGTTACAGCATTTGCCGACCCTCCTGTTTTCCCGCTGTTGGATACCACACATGGCTTGGCTCATCCTGTGGCTGGCTCTTACCGACTCCAACGCTGCGTTCGACACGGAGGACGTACTGTAAGCCCTTGCACCCTTGATGACGCACAAGAAAGCAATGAATTCATCCACGGTGATGCGGAAATGATGAAGACAAGGTTGTACGGGAAACGGCCAGTGTGTCTGTGCCTAGCTAGTACGGTACGGTAGCTTGTTTCCTTCAAGTAACGAGCACTTCGAGTGCACACATGCATACAAAGTCCCAGGCCACCAAAGCAAGAGTCTAGATAGCTAAAAGACATGTATTAGCTCTAGGTGATGCTCACAACTTGATAGCTGATGGTTCTTCTAAAGCTTTTGGGTGAAGCAAAGAGTGATTGTATTATTTATTAGTTAGTAGTCGTTCGTCCAATTCAATGCTGTTCCAAGCTAGCTAGGCTTGGGGGTCTTCCACGGGAGGAGTGTCGTGTTGAGAGGCAACTTACTCATGCTGTTCCTGCTGTTGTGCAATGATCTCCTGAAGTCCTTCAATGAGCCCCTGAAATGACTGGCGTTCTGGATTGTTCTCGAAAAACTTCTTGATAGCTTCAGTCTGGTTATTGTCAAGAATGATCTTGGCCGTTTCTGGATACGGATGTCACCTGCCATGCCCACCCAAAGTTGTCTCTGACACCAAAGCATCACTCAAGCACTCCAGGAGCATGGTACCCCGTTGTTGCCAAAGGAAGAAACACAAATCCTGTGTCACTCGATGGTGGCCAAGGTGTGCGTCTCTCTCTCTATTTCTGACTCTGGCTTTGAAAGCTACAGTGCTGATCTCCGCTGCGAAGAGCACAATGGACTTTGACTGGCCAACCTGGCTGAAGCGGAAGACTGGGGTCTGAAGGACCAGCGGGACAGGCCAACGGTAGATATAGCAATCCACGATTGCATGCAAAGGCAATGAAGTGGCATTCTCACGAACGAGCCTCTGTTCACTGGATGGCGTCTTCACCATGAAGGAGCTCGTATACCGGTACTTTGTCTTGGTACCTTACTCCAGCCAACTATGTATACTCATCCATGTACTTGCAACGCAGCGGTGATCGCTGACAGGTGGATCGTCAAAGTACTACTAGTCTAGCTCGAACAAATACAATAGTGTACACAAATAATGGGTTGGTTAGGTAGTGACAAAAGTCAACTAATCAATTCTGTTCTCAATTTCAAATGCTGCTACTGTGCGGTACCTATGGATCAATCAGTACCGGTAGAGCGTATCACAAAGATCCATCGTTGTTCTTCCCAGAAGGTTTTCCTCACTCAATCACGTAGAGGTTCCGGCCTGCTCCTAGACGGCTCGGGTGTCTTCCGAAGGAGGAGTTTCGTGTTGAGAGGCAACTTACTCCTGCTCTTGGAGTTGGTGGGCTGCAAGGATCTCCTGAAGTTGTTCAGTTTGCTGCTGAAAAACTCGTACAATGAGCTCCTGCTGTTCCTGCTGTTGTGCAACAACCCCCCGCCATGGCTGGAATTCTGGATTGTTCTCGAAAAAGGTGTTAGTAGCAACTTTCTTTTGGAGGGGTGTCTGGTCCNNACAGCTTTACAATTAGCAGGCTTATTCTAGAAAATAATCAATAACTGCTCACTTATTTGGAAATACAAACTTTACATCTCTTAGATCGTTAGATTAATCAATCCACAATGGTATTGTCGCAGGTCGTCGTCAGAATGATCAGAACGATCAATTCCGCGCCCGAAGATGGCTTTGACACTCTGTTCCATCTCCGCTTCAAACAGCGCGACGTCCTCTTCAGTAAGGTTGTAGTCACGTAGTAGGGATGCACGAGCAAAAGCACGAGCACCAGTGGTGCTTGGGTTGATCATGCTGGCTACTGGTACTTGATCCTTGATTGCCTGGTCGTCTGATAGTCGATGGCTGATGGCTTGCTGATGGTGGCTTGATGAAATTTATGAGAGAGTGACAGTCCACGAAGGCAGAGGAGAAAAATATCTTTCATATCTTTTATCTTGGAATGATCTTTCGATTGGAATGAGAAGGTTTTTGGTTGCCAACCAAGAATTCGGACATTTTCAATTCGATTCAAGAGTGTTTCAACAGTGCACCAGCCCATGTCCAAGCGCGTGGTAGGACCATTAATCGCGGAGTTGAAGCTGGTACTCTTTGACTCTTTGTGCAGTAGCCCTCTAAAGTAAAAATTATGCTATATCTTGTACAGGCAGATACCAGTCTTTTATTGGCTACCAAACTTGTAAGGGAGCCAGGCAACCATATATTTGGTTGTCATTCTCAACCAAATTGTGGAGCTGGGCCAAAGAGCATGCCAGCCTAGGACAGGCTGGCTCTTATCTATTTCAGCTGTGCAGCCTTAGCACTGCACCCTGCCCCCATAAGCTGACGTATTCTGCAGTCACGCTTATTCACAGTTAGTCACAGTTGGAGAGTCAGCCTGCCGTACACGGAGGCATGCTGACTTGCCAATTTATAGTTTGCGAACTGTTTTTATTTTTGTGCTTCGACGACGAAGGTTATACATGAGAAACTGCGAAGGAAGGAAAACCTCATTGCCTGTAAGGCTTGACTTTGCGTATGTTAACGCGTTCCTCTACATGAGGACTCAGCCTAATGGTAACAGAACCATTGGTATGTACCCTAGTGATAGTGTACGGTCCTTCCGCTCTATTCTCCAGTTTGTTTGGAAACGGAACGAGTTTAAGAACTTTTCGCTCAGCTGGTAGTTGTAATGGATACGACATTTGTTTTCATTCAACAAATTGTAGTTGATCCGAGCTTCCCTACGTTGTCGCAGTAGATGGAAGTCGGCTTCGATCGGTATGTTCATGATCATATCGTGACCGTATATCATTGCTCCAGGAGACAATTTCATAGTGCTATGAATAGTGGTTCGTGCTGCATAGGCTGCTGTTTGCAATGCTGTCTCAATCATGAGTCGTGCACCTTGATCATCCTTTGGAGGATGAGCATAGGCTGCTGTTTGCAATGCTGTCTCAATCATGAGTCGTGCACCTTGATCATCCTTTGGAGGATGAGCATAGGCTGCTGTTTGCAATGCTGTCTCAATCATGAGTCGTGCACCTTGATCATCCTTTGGAGGATGAGCATATGCCAATAGACGTAATGAATTGCCTATTGATTGATGTAGTCGTTCTACAATTGAATTCCCTTGTGGATTTCGTACTGAGATCAGAGATCTTCGACGTTGTGTCGCTTGAGGACTTGCAGAAAGTCCCTACCAGTGAATTCACTTCCCTGATCGAAGATGCATCGTTCAGGTTTTGGGTACCTTGCGATCCAATTGTTTTCGAATTGACGGCCTATATGTGCCGCTGTTTTGTTGTCCACGAGGACTACTTCCGGCCAATTGGTGACTGTATCTAATATAGTTAAGGCGGTGAAACTGTGTAGTTTCCCTTTTTCATCACGTAGATCCCATGGACCAATGAGATCGACAGCGACCTCATACCATGGCACTGTGAATGCTTGTCGAGGTGGCAGATGTCCAAATCCTGCCCCCAAAGACTTGCATTTCTGACATGCATCACATGTTCGGCACAACTGATGTACTGCAGCAAGGATTTTGCTGTTCTTGTACACTTGCGAAAGTGTTTCATACAATCGTTGTGGTCCAGGATGAACCAAGGCCATGTGATAAAAGCGTACCACACTATTCACCATAGAATCTGGAAGACAGATTCTAAGTGGCTTGTTTCGTGACTC